GGGGGGAAATAAGAATAAAGAAAATTGAGCTTACATATGCCGGGTAGAAGAAGTCATACATGATACCACAATATTGCAGTCTATACAGCGTGTAGCCCTATTAGTTTGATGGGTATTTGTTTTAGGGACAGTACAGTTGGCACACTGTACTGTGTTCATTTGTTGTCCAAAATTGGTACGTGGCAACTCTTAGGTGTTAGTAATCACTTTCTCTCGTCCAACAACTACAACTCTTTAATTTGCTCATCTAATTCTTCTGCACCTAACAAATCGTGTACTTATGGGAAATTTGAACCGTGAGAAAAAGAAAGAGAAGTAAAAATAGTGTCCATACGATAAGTTTGGGCTAGCAAGTATAATTAGTTTGGGGTTATGAGTTGTATGACTAATATTTATGGCTACTCGATGATATTTATTTTCTCCGACCGGTTAAAAGTGAATTTCTCTCTTTTCTTACTAGACTAGACAGTCCATAGAATTTAAGGCCTGTCAACCCAGCCCAGGCCAAAAAGGGATGAAGTACATAAATAGCTCTCAAAATAGATGATCTTGAATTATTATCTTGGATTGTCTTAGGGTAGAACTTCAAGTTTAACTAATGTTATAGATAATATATTTAATTTTTGACCTTAAAATTTTACCCTTAGAATAAGTGGGGGTCAAAAAATAAAAGTATTTGATTCGGTTCAGAGTTCAACGAAAAAACGATGTAAAATGGGTCATATGTATTTGTGTAATTTTTTATTCATCTTTCAGCTCAAGACCCCTTTGTTGAGAGTTGCGGGTGTGCATCGATCCATTTGGTTCAATTGTGAATATTATCGGTTGCATATGGGTTACCGAGTAATGCACATGGAGTGAATTTCAATCACTGAAGTTTGCATAGTCAGATTTCAAGCATAGCCATAGTTTGGTCCGCTAACCCAAATTCCCTTGTTAATGGCACAAATGCAACTTCCAGTAATGGAAAATGCTTCCCACTCTCACTGCTCAACACAGAAGAAAACATGGGAAGTCGTTTGGGAAGAAGAGTTGTGAACTTTGCTAATTTCCCCCTTAAGCTCCTCATGCCTTCCTCTTTCTCTAATATCACTGAAATTTCCCTCAAAACAATCCCCTCTGCTTCAAAGGTAACAACTTCTGTGAATTTTTCTATATTTTTGTGTAAACAAATATGATTTTGAACCTTAATTTCATTGATTTCTTGCAATTTTACGTGCATATTGAGATAAGAGAATGCAATATTTCTTTACTCAAAAAAGGAATCTTTTTAACGTAGATGCTGGGTTGTTGTTGTATTGATGCATTTAGTATTGATACATTATTTCAAAACTTAGTTTCAAAAGTCTTGGAAATTTTATTCATTTGTTCAGATAAAATTAAAGGAGGAAGTTTTTTGAGCATTTATTGTTAGACTTGTGACGGGTGTTAGTTGCTTTTAGGATTTTATTGGAATTTTATGTACAGAGACATAAAAAGCACCCCAAATTTGAATTTTTCATTTTTAACTTTGCTAAACATTTTTTTCTGTAGTCATTGCTAGAGTATTTTATATTTTAACCATATTTAGCTTTTGTAAAATGTTCATTTTTTTCTTAAACATCATAACATGTAGAGTTTTTATTTTTCTATACAGATCGAAATAAAGAGGTATTTTTTCGTACAAGTGATATGAAAATATGATTTGGAAACTTAGCTTCAAGAAGTTTCTAGGATTTTTATATACACATTGACATAACGAGAGAAATACTAATTCATACAAGTTATATTGAAATATGAACGAAGAACTTAGTATCAAAGGTGCGTTGGATTATTTGTACAGATTGAGATAAAGAGAGTTTTGGAGTCACTATACATATTTGAGGTGGAGAAGGTCCAAACCCTTAACATGGATGGGAAGAAGAAGAAGAGAGGTGGGTTGTTGATAGCTAAACCAGACTATAAAAAAGCATATGTTACTCTTAAGAACCCGTTGTCTATCTCATCGGACCTATATCCAGTCCGGATACTCGAAGAGGAGAAGAAGAATACGAGCAAGAAATCAAAATCTAGCATTGTTGAGGATGATGAACCTAAGAAGATGCATTGGCTTGACGGGAAGAAATATGGGAGGTCTAAATCAGAGACGAGCACTAGTCGTGGCTATGATGGAGATCGGAGTAATGTTGGTGCAGCACCGGCGAAGTTCGCATGGAGCAGTATGAGGTCTTATGCTGCTAGGTAGATTTCCTTTTTCAATTGGAATGAGGAGATCTTTGTCAGAGAGTTTTTTGGGTAAAGTGCTTCCATAGCTCAGTTTAGTAATGGTGGTGTATTATCGTGGAGTATATCACTTATGTCAACTTCTCTATAATTATTTGAAGTTCTATGTATTTACCTTCATTCATTGGAGATAATTTGATATTTGTGAGTTGAAAGCTGGAACATGATGAGTTTCTTTTGTATTGTTTCTTACATGGATGATCAGAGATGGTACTTGAAATTGTGTTGAATAAACTGTTTGATTTAGTCATCTCCAATGGTTAAATGAGAAAGCTTGCTCTGTGCAAGAAGTAATGAGGCCAGACTTCTTTTTTATCGTCGTCAGGCTAAAAATGTGTATTAGGAAGTTCATATCAAGAGGAAGTCCAATGGTTAAATGTGTCTTGTGGGAAGCTACAGCTACATAAACATTTGATCAAAAGAAAGAAGAAATCTTCAAGATCAAGAGGACTTTTGACTGGAAGTGTGATATGATTGATTTCTATTCTTTATAGGGAAATGATGGGATCCTGATCTGTTGAACAAAAGATACTGGTTCTGTTGTAAAGTATAAATGCCACTTAGATAAATGACTGTGTTTCTGCATTATGCAGGTGATGCAACCATGTCCATTAGTGATAACATTATTACATAGTTACTTACAAACAAGATGGCAGATGATGAGTTCATTAAATTAGATGAACAATTTGTAATTTGACACTCTGTCTGATCTGATAAGAAGCACAACTTTAGGATCTTAGGATATAGACTGCCTTCGACGAGAGCATGCTTTGCAGCCTACATTTGATCTATTATGGCCTTCTTCAGTTACTTCACTATCCAATTTTCCATTGGAATGAGCAGATTTTTTCATCTTTCTCCACCCAAATGTCCAGCTTGTTTTTGTATTTTTGTTGTTTACTTTTTCATAATTGTGTTGCAGTTCCGAGTAGTCCCTCTGAAGCTCTTCCATTTGTATCTTTATTTTTTCAAGTTCTTCTTTAAGGGACTTGACCTCCTTCTTGGAAGGTGACTGACTACTTTCCTTGTCTGACTCGTCATCACTTGTTATATGATCTTTCCCTTGTATTGCAGCCTTCATCTTCACTTGCTCTGAGAACAAAACCTGCAAGTTTCTCTCTTTTTAATTCATAAGTTTATGAGCATGTTTAGAAGGCTATTTGGTCTTGTTTTGGTACATATATGTCTTTTTGCAAGCTTAGTTTTTGATTAACCCTTTTTGCAAGCTTAGTTTACAACACTTCTTTTGCCTTGGCTTCTTAGATCTATATTAGGCTTTTTTTATGACGGTGTGTTGGGTTCAGCTTGCTCGCATCTCCATTGTTCTACCCGATACCTACTCCCTCCCACCAGCATAGGTACCTAGTAGTTCTACCCACCAAGCTTAAGGCAGATAGATAGAAATCACCTAGCGTTTTTTGTCTCCGTTGTGATTTGAACCCTGATATCCAAGGTTTTCACCCACTTGAGCAATCCATGTTAGACATTCTTATTGCAATTTCACTCAAAATATTTACTGCAGCTTTCTTCCAGATATGTGCCTCAAGTTTCACATTGTTTGCTCGTTCTATGAAGCTCCACCATGTCCTGATACATCTAGTATGTTCAGATAAGGTCTATTCTTCTGGTCCTTTTGTTGCATGTGCTAATAGTATTTGTGTTATCTGAATTCTGAGGTGAATAAGGTGTTCATATTTCTGATATATAGTTCGAAAAAGAGGTGAGGAAAACAAACAACTTGCCCTAAGATACACAGGATGACTATTACAGATATAGCCATTCAAAGTAAGAAAATAAAGATTGGTAGACTAGTTTCTAATTGTCTTTTACATAAATGGGTCAGATGCTTCTAGGTTTGAATTTTACAATGTTTGGTTTCGAGACATTTTGTGCCTAAAAATAAAAGGATGCAATGGCAAGCTAATTAATGTGTAAGATTATCCAATTGTGATTTTGTGGCTTTTGATGCCTGCACATTTCTAAGATTGGCACATAGAAGTTAGCTCTATTTTTTATTTTTTAGATAACCGTGGTATTCGAGCTAGCTTGCGCAAACCTCGACTAACTCCACAGGTATCTGCTACCTCTCACCCGTGTAGGTACCGGGTAACTCTACCAATCAAGGCTTGGACAGATGAGAGGAACTCACCTACTGTTTTTTTGCCTCGATTGAGATTTAAGTCTGAGACCTCATAGTTGTCAACCCACTTCATTGACCACTGGGCCACACCCCTGATGCCGTAGAAGTTAGCTCTATTATATCTAGTTATTTCACCATTCAACCTTGCAACGTCAAATAAAAGCTAGTCTTGCTCTAGTGTAAGATTCTGGCCTTGTTGGCATCTAGAAAGTTTTAAGAAGCTGAATTGTATTATGCTATTGTTTACTTCTGCCATGATGCTTAGTAAGGATCTAGAGACAGAATATGCCTTACAATATGAAGGGCTCATTGTCAGCTTTTATATACTTTAGCTCGATCGTGATGTTTAGGACTAGAAATCTTTTTGCAGTTATACCTGGATAACAATCCTTAGAGGCAACCTGTCATTTTGTGCTGCATGTGTGCATGCGTCAAGTGACAACTTCCCACAGTTCATAATCTTGCACAGCCTTTGGCGGTCATGCTCTGACAGTGAAGGATGAGTCTATGGAAAATATTAAACCACTAGTATTCTTTATCAACTTGTACATCAGGAAGTATATAAGTGACGGAAAAATTTAAGAGAGAAAGAGAGAGAGACCTTGAGGTATGTATCAATGGCTCGATAGAGGCCATCGTGACTTGCTCGAGCTTCTAGTGGCAAAGATTCAGCTAAAATTTGGAACTTGTCGATGGAGACATTGGGATCACTTGCAATTTCTGCTAGGTAGCTGTCAACCAGTTTACTGATATTCGATGCTGTAGACTTCAATCCTTGTTGCTGTAGCTGTTGTTTTTCGTATATCAAGAAATAATCCAAAATCCTTTGTACAGCTTCTAAATTGTGCATGGTCTGTTTTTCAGTTGAACTGGATGAACCATTAACGGAATTTGGTAAGACTCTATTTGGGATTCCTCAAGTTTTATCTTTTCTTTAAGTGTCTATATTGAGATGAAAATTGAAAGACTGACCTTTAGAGCAATGTGCTAAATCAAATGATAGAAACTCACTCTATTGTTTGTTCGCCTACTGAATTAGTAGGGATCAGAAGGTCATTCACCGTGGCATTTTCCAGCACCATGCTGATTCTTTTCTCGAGCTCAAAAACTAGGACTGGTGATGGTGCATACACAATAGCCTTCTTTAACATCCACAGGAGGAACTTGCAAGGAACAGCTTCCTTTTGAGGAGGCAGTATACTAACAAGACTCTCTATGATTGTCCTACGCTCCTTATTCTGTCCAATCTTCGTTTCTTGCTTCCTCCCACTCATGAAATGAAAATCAATTATTCTGTTACCATAATTTCCCGTTTCTTCTGTTTTCGTGTCTGTGCTTGGCAACCATTTTTCCCCGTAGCATATTATACATGAGCCAATGATTTCAGGGTTCATTTCTTTTGCCCGCAGTGCTGTGATTATCCGTAAGAAATGGTTAATATGGAGACTAGTAACATCTTTGAACCACCAATTCTCTTCAATCAGCTTCTCCTCAGCTGAATTTCCTCTGGAAATCTTCGAAATGATTGAGTCGCAACATCTTCTAACCATCTGAAGGTTTTCTGCCCATGGTGATAGAATCTCACATGATCTAAGGACAGTGATGGTGTCATTCCATGATGAGAGGACTACAAATGTGAAGAAGGCTTCTATCTTAGCAATTAAATTTCCATCTTCCATTGCTTCGGTCATATCTAGAAATTCTGAGGCACATCTTGTTGCTGCGACATTGTCAGGGTTCAGGCTTATAGGCAGGCCATAACAGAATTTCAATATGATCTCAAAAGTTCCAGATCCGCCTGGAAACTTTTCAAGCTTGAGGTCATAACCTAAATGTGAATTTGGCCGCGGAAGCTCAATTGTTCTTAGGTAGCCACACTTTGAAACCAGTGGATACTGTTTCAGGAGAACATGAACTTGAATCAACTTCTATTAAGTAAATAACAGGTATCACATTATTGCAGCACTTTTTGTTTGTTTTGTTTCGGATAAATACATTATCGCTGAACTCCAAAAAGTGAAACCTGGGTTTGAAGATCTCTTTTATCGCTGTTGAAAAGAGTTTATATTTGCTTCACTTGTTTGTATTTTATTTATTTTCTTTCTGATTGCTGACTCCTAGTTTGTCCTTTTTATTTTCTAAACTCTTTATTATTGGAGCACTCTAACCTTTTTTCAGGTCAATATCATCACTTTCTTGTTCCGTTCTTCCAAGTTGGCAAGAATGTTACAAGGTCATTTCAATGATAAGTCAAGGAAGGCTTCTTTTGGAATTATACAGGTGATCACCTCCTTATGCAGCAGTATATTCTTTATGATGAGTAGAATTGTAATCATGTTCTTCTATGCGGCCACTAGTGTCTTTTTTGAGTGATTTGGTTCTTCGTGTGTTTAATTAGGAAAAGCAACTTACTCTGTTTTGTTCGTATGAATTATAATGCCTCGATTAGTTTGGATATAATCTCCGTAATTACCTTGTGAACGTGGAAGGTGACATCTTCAACTTGAATTGAGAGATCAGTTGGAATCTGACAAGTCGCAAACCTGAAAAACAGATGAAAAGCACACTAGAAACAAACAAACAAGCTAAAACAAAAAAAAGAATTGAATGAGTATGAGGAAATTACATGATCAAACTAAAAACTGAAGCTTATGGTTTTAAGATTCTTACCATGATTGTTCTTTCTTCTTGAAGCCGTCAGCTGTTTCAGTTTCAACTATACGTTGGTTGTGGACGTGGTTAGTACCATTAGAATCATTTGGGGGTTTGTCTGGCTGATCCAGCTGAATGGACTTGTGCATTGTAAGTTGTCTTTACTGCATTCACTCAAGAAAGTTCATCTGATAAAAAGATTGAGTTTGGTGGGGACTGCAGTGAGTAAATGTGAAAAAGGAGTCTGGCTGGAATGAACGGACAATTGAAGGAATGCTGGGGTGGTGTTTTCTCAACTTGCATTGAAGTTCAGTGTGACAAACATGGTATTTATTTCTAGAGACAATTTGATTAAGATCAGGA